AAATTTGTGGGGGGTTTTTTATGATGAAGTTATTCTGCAGAGTAAAATTCTGCGAAGTTTCTAAATTTAATGTTTAGTATTCCCTTCAGGCATTTTTCCGGTACATTTAAAAGCCAGACAAAGGCTGGCAGCGTAGCCGCTAATTGCTAGGCAGTAATTTCACCTTGTTCTCATTCTCAGACCAAGTTCTTAAAACGGTGAGCAACGGCGCCGAATTTGCTAAAAAGTCCTATTCTGTTCAAAGCTACAATCAGCGAAAAAGCTAAGCCGTATTTTATTTTATCAAATAAATTGTCATTAACAGTAATATTAATGCTGTGTATAGAAATGAGACAGTCACCATAAGCCCATGTCAATAAAGTTTTCGGAAATTCCAAGCTAAAAACAATAAACCATAGCCTAGAAGATGAGCCTTGTCATGTAAGAACTGCAGAGTTCAATGAAGATATCTTGCAAATGATGTTGGAATAAATTCTATCACAACTACTGGAAGACTAACAGAGAGTGAAGAAGAGTATTTTTTTCAGATTTAAAAAGGACTTTGTTTATTTCAATTTCGAAAAGTAACAGAAGTGTTTTAAACAATTGCATCATTTATGGTATGTATCAATATTAATTAAATTTGATATATATTTATTAATATCTCTTTTTTTATTAAACCTATTTGATTCTTCCTTTCATATTTCAAAATTTGTATTTTTAATCAATAATTAGAATAAATGAAAACCCCACAGGTACACATATCTAAGAATGATATTATAAGTCCTTAATAACATATGAATTAATAAATAACTGTGTATGCTCTTATATTCAAAATATTCAAGTAAAATGCCAGTAAGAGAGTTATATTTGAAAGGTGAAAATTTATTACCCTAGTCACCTTTCAAGTAACATCTATTACAAAATTTACATAGCGCAAAAAAAAGGAGGGGACAGTTCTATATCTCCTGTTCTGGTGGGCTGATTGACGAAATTCAACTTGCATTTTTTATGACGTGAAACTGCAACTTAGGATATGTATTAGATTTATATATAGCATTGTTCTCATATAGGTATTTTGACACAAAATTGGACTTTTTCTGAAATGACATGGCCACTTTTTTTCCATATTTCGATTCTACGATTCAAACTAATGCAAACTGCCAAGTTTTGTAAAAATTGCACGAGTAGTTTTTAAAAAATTAGCTCTCAAAATTTTAGCTCCTCAATATTAATTGAATTTGATATATATTTATTAATATCTCTTTTTTTTTATTAAACCTATTTCATTCTTCCTTTCATATTTCAAAATTTGTATTTTTAAATAATTTTTATAATTTTTTTTGAAAAACATTTTGTATTATAACCTATAAAATTTTTAACATCCTCTTAAAGTAGATGTATTTCTAAGCATACCTGCAAAAAATTAGAGTTTCTTATTCAAACTTTCCTACGATATACGTGAATTTACATTTTGTCGTGTTTTGAAATTTGGTGTATTTATTACAAGTGATAAAAAGAAAATTTGGTTTATGCACTTTGTTAGTAATTATTTGAAAGTATGAACGATGCTTTTTTTTTTTTTTTTTTTCCCACTCATGTACAATGATGAAAAAGGAAAGGAAAATAGGTTGCTATAAATTAAGAAGTTCGCCAAGTAAATTATTCGGGGCACAAATGGAAAAAATTTGCCAAGATAAATTTTTAAATTTCTCCATAAATTTCACACCAAAAATTACAAAATTTAATATCTAGGCATCATTTGAGGCATAGAATCGAAAAACAGAAAAAAAAAATGGTATGTTATTTCCGAAAAAAGTCTGATTTTGTGTCAAAATACCTATGTTAAAACAAAGCTATATATAAATATAATATATATCCTAAGTCCCACTTTCGAGAAATGCAAATGGAAAACGCAAGCTGATTTTCTTCAATCGGCCCAGTAGAACGGGAGATATTAGAATTGTACCTTTTTTTTTTTTTTTGCACAGTGTACCTATTCCATTGCTCCTGACATTTCTGGAAGTAGTAGCTGAAGTCTACAGTAGCTACTGGGCCAATTTTTTTTAAAGGAAAATGAAAGCTTTTTTTAATAACAAAACTCTATTTTTAATTTTATTAACAAAACATTTATCAGAACATACTTAAACAGCATTGATAATGACATAAAGGGAGGGATCCAATTTTATTTATTTTCTTACTGGAATTTAAAGTTTGTTATCTGCAAGAAATTTCTGATGGTTACACTTTGTAATTCAAACATACTGACAGTTAAATATTAAATTTTCAGACTGACGTTTATTTCAAATAATTCTAATTTGCTGAAGAAACCACTAAAAAAACTTAACAACAAATTTCACAAACTTTGCAAGTGGAAAAAATTTTAAATAAATTATATGCCAACCTAATATTTATTCCTTTTATTTATTAAACATTTCTTTGTTGCGTGCAAAAAAATACATACATTTTTAAGCAAATAATAATAAACTTTTTTTATTTCTTACTACTGCACTTCATGGCA